AAGGAGACGCTAAATATACTTTCAAGGGACAACAGTTATCTGTTCCCTGGGGACATGGTTTTCAAAGATATAAGAAAGCCACATGGTTTCTCTACACCCTGGAACATAGACAGAAAAATAGAAATAACCCACTGCCAGTGTGTGACAGATAATTCTCAAACTACTGTTAACATGTGATTAATGCTTTTTGAGTGAGTGGAATTCTGAGTGGAGTCATTTGAATGAGTGGGATTTTTTCTACATCACATTTGATATTAATCTATGTTGTCATCCTAGTACCTCCCATCCTGCATTGAATCTGAAAATGTACAACTGATAGAAAAGTGCTGTGATAACAGTGCCTTTGGATGGTCTAATCATTAAGGATACTCAACATGCTTTAGGTTTTATGTATTTTATAATCCTTGTATAGCTGGTGTAGGCTAGATGTCATTCATAGTTTAAGAACAAAACCTAGTATTCATCTTGATTTCCCTTTAAAAAATCTGCATTATTATTTTTGCTATTTTGAAATAGAAGTTCTAAATCCAGGACATTGTTTAAAAAGAGATTAAAGTATCTATTATTATATGACTAATGTTTCAGCCAATTAAGATATCTTATATGTGAGCAGGACTATTGTTTAACTACATCAGCAATTAAGAAACAGTAGAGTTGACATTAAACGAATGAGCTTAGGACCTGAGAATAGTACTTATTAATTTCCAGTGTGATATAGAATGCATTAAAAACATTTGTATGATCCCATCCTGAATGATTTAGTATTCAATTTCCAAAGCTATCTTTTAAATTTTATTTCCAAGAATTTAAATACAGGACATACTTTCCTATAATTTAGTAGTAGTTTAATATGGGTTTTTGTTGTGTTTTGTTTTCGAGGCCCAGTCTCTCAGGCTTGAGACGGAAAACATTATGAGAACATCCATCACAGTTTGGTTTCTGATCACATTCCCTTCTGACTAGACTGGGTAATAGTGTAGTTCTCTTTGGTGAACTGGATTGTGTTTTGTGCCAGGGCTGGTTACAATGGCATCTCTCCTTAAAGCTAATTCTAGTGGATTGTATATGTTTGGGTTTGTGGAATAAGTCCTCTGTCAACTTGCATTTTAAGGAAGGCCTGTGTTACAAATATGTTATCAAAATAAGCAGCTGTTTTGTTTGGTGGTTAGGATATTTTTAGGGTTCTAGTCATTTTCAGAAAAACTGCATAAAATATATGGCTTTTTAGTCAAAGATTTTGCATGGGGTTAGGATGAGAAGAACAGAGAGGAAGGGATGTTCCCCTTTGTTTATATTTTTTATTCACTGATTTTATTTGGAAGGGGACATATGTTTTAATTGAGATAATTCACATACCATAAAATTTGTGCCTTAAAGTACACAATTCAGCAGTTTTTAGTATATTCGTTCACAAAGTTGTGCAACCATCACCATTGTCTAATTCCAGAACATTTTTATCACCCCAAAAAGAAATGCTATACCCATTAGCTGTCACTCCCCCAGCCCCTGGGAATTGCTAAACTTCTTTCAGTCTCTATTTGGATTTGCTTATTCTGGATGTTTCATATAAGTGGACTCATACACTATGTGGCCCTTTGTGGTTGGCCTTTTTGATTTAACATACTGTTTTCAAGATTCATCCATGTGGCAATATGTGTCAGTACTTTTATGGCTAAATGATAATCATTTTATGGCTGTACCACATTTTATTTATCCATTCATCAATTGATAGACAATTGGATTATTTTAACTTTTTGGCTATTATGAATAATGTTGCTAAGAACATTCATGTACAACTTTTAACGAGAACATGTTTTCAGTTCTTTTAGTACGTATATGCTTAGGAATGCTGAATGGCATGGTAACTTTGTTTAACCTTTTCAAGAACTCTTGGCATACATTTTATCTTTGCTTTTGTTTCTTACTTTTAAAAATCTCTCAAACTTTGTCTCATGTTAAGAAATCGTGTCTATGAAAGTCTAGAAGGAAGAGTAAAAATTTTTTAAGTTATTCTGTCAAAAACAACTGCTAGCATGTAGCAGTTTCTCCTCTTGTGGTTAAGTTTATGCCCTACCCTCTTCTTCAGAGAAAAGGAAGTTCTGTGTAGGAATGTAAAGGGTAGTCTGTAACTCTTACTGTTTAAATAAGTTAAAGGCTAGAGAGATGTTCCTTGTCTTCAGGAAATTAGATGTTTACAGCTAGTCTGGCTTAACTGATGTTGAAATCATTAAGAATAGTTCTCTATAGCTTGCTGGAATCCTTGGTAGTAAGATGTAAATACCAAAGAAATTAACTCCCACTCTCCTTAAATATTCATTTGTTCATTCACTCAATATTTATTGGGCGTCTACTGTGGGTCAGGGATTCTTCTAGGTCCTAGTAATACTGCGGTCAGAGAAATAGACTACCGCCTTCATGGATTTACTCTATCCTTTGATGGCTGATCATTAGACTCTTACTCCTAAAAACAAAACAAATGGGAAAAACCTAAATTCTTGTGTATTCATTTTTAGATTTTACTTCCATTGTGTTTTTCGTCACTTGTTTAATTCTAAAAAACCTGCCTGTTGTAATTAGCAATAGCTGATCAAGATGTCACATGGTGATATCAGCTGTCCAGTCAGATATGTCTCACAGAGTGGCACTACCTTGATGACATTGCCACTGTCTGGGACCTAGTCCTTAAGCTTTGCAGATCTAGAAACTTCATCTGTGTACGTTAAAAGAGGGATTAGTTTGAGGTACTAGAGGTGCCTACAGTGAGAAATACCAGTATTCTAGTCTGTGTATAGTTATATTTCACTCTGCAGAATGAATGTGTTGGCTTTTGTATGCTTTTTAGTTAGTGTGATTCAGAGTCTCTTAGGGCATTGACAAAAGCAGTCTCTGCTCTTTCCTGGGACCTAAGTAAGATAGTATTTTGTGAAGACCCTGCCCAGTTCTGGCCAGTGGTGTCCCTTTGATCCTTGCTGCTACAAGGGTGGTCCATGACCACAGCAGTGCCATTATGATCTGAGGGCTTGTGAAGAATGCAAGAATCAGGCCCCACCCAGACCTACTGAACCATAATCTATACTTTAACAAGATTGCCAGGTACAATATGTATACACATTAAAACTTGAGGCACACTGCGTCAGAGTATATCATTACCACTTCATTAGCTCTCTACTGATTTCTGTAGTTTAATCAACCACAGATGTGTTATAAATTGTTGTGGTTTATCTTCAAGATTAAAACATTGTTTGCAATATCATAGATTTGTTGGATAATTATACAGTAATATTCAAGTGAATAATTAACAATCTCAAGCCAGTGCTGTCCTAGCATGTCTTAACGTCTGTAATGTGACCATTTGTCTTTCATAGTAGTTTCTTTTTAATTTTTAATAGTTGATTTCAGATAATTTTTTGAAGATTTAACTAGTAATGTTGATATTCCTAACGTACAACACCAGATTCTCAATAGATTATTCCCACAGGAGTTGAAAACACATAGCATGCTAGTGAAAGACCGAGACAGATATAGAACTCAGTGGGGGGAAAAAAACTTATTTCAGAAAAACAAGGCAGGAAGTCTTAGTAGCTCAGCAAAGAAAAGAAAGCTATTATTGCTTCTTTTATCTCCCACTTCCCCTTCTGTTACCCATTTTCAAAACAGTCCAAAATCTGAAATAATTTGTTACTGCGCTAGTAACAATGTCCCTATTATAGTGTTCTAAGAAAAGGTTAAATCTAGAGTTGGGGAAAACCAAGAATGGATGAAATAATTTAAAAATAATTCATGATCCTGCTACTTACAGACAACCACTTTTAACATTTAACATTTTAACATTCCTTCTAGACATATTATTTTGCAAAATTGAGAGACCATTGTATATGCAACTTCATATTCATATTCATATCTTTTGGTTAGCATTACATCATTTATTATAAAAATTTCCCATGTGCAATCTAATTTTTAACATAGAGGTGAATAGAGTCTATTACATAGGTACCTATGGAGCATTCGTTGGTAGTAGGCTGAAATGTATTGATTCAAGTACATCAAAACACTAGAAGCAAAGCTCTAGAAGCAGTACTGAATAATTAACAACCAAGAAAAAATGCTGCACATATATTTGTGTAGAAAAGACCCCGTATATTTATATTGGTTTTTCAGTCATCTTTTCTCGAATAAGTCTTTTCACAAATTGTCCTTAAACATGACACCCTGAAAGCTACTTGTTGAATCCAAAACTGACTTGAACTGTAGAA